TAGTTAAGCATCGTCCTTAAGCGATTCTGGTCCTCTGGTCGAAGCTTTTGTATTCTGTCTTCGAGAACGTAGGACCATATCTCCTCTGGCAGGTTTGGAACATTGTGTCTGTTCATGTCGGCTTCATTCATCAGGGTGTTCTCTGTGGGATATCGGGCGAAATTCAAGAGATTTTCAAATTCACAACTGTGGGCTAACACGCAATTGACTACTCAGTCTTATAAAGTTCAAGCCCTACTCGTACTAATGACTCTTATTTCACACATAGAAGGGGTACGAAAACCACCTTGCAGGAGGTTCTTTGCTAAAGGGCCGCATGAATCAATAGGCTAGATCCCGCCATAGCTGAGGTAGTAGTGACAATAGCGGCACGACCGGGACCGAAAATATAGGTAGAGGGAATACTAAACCCAATGAATCGTTTGATCGACATATCCTCTCTAGAGAAGTTCACGTTTAACAGTATTCAAACTACCTACTTTAGTTTGCCTCATTGTGTCTGTAGATATGCTCGTGGGCCCGGTAATAGGTGTCTAACATCCATCATCATGCGCGTAGCCTGACGATGAATAGCTTGCCGCTTTGAAATGCTTGGCTATTGTCGGGCGGAATTGTCACAAATAGTCGTCAGGACGGATGATCGCCTTTCAGAGGATTCGGTCAAAAGCCGTCATCTGGTTCTTAACCAATGCTCAAGATATGCATTTTCTAATCCCGGATCATATAGACATTAGGGGTTACCTAATTAGTACCGCCTGCCCGCTCGGCACAGTAAATATCAGAAGGTGACGAGATCATAAATAGATTTCATGGGTCAACGCCAGCACGTTGCTCTTATCTATTCACTCAATAGGATTGCACAAAAGGTAATGAACTGCTACTCGAGGCCTGGCGGTGCGCTACATCGCGCGTCGTACGCTGTCTAGCCGGCCACCTCGAACCAGGACTCGAATAGCCGCCCATACTAAAAAAAAAAATCACTACCCAGAACGATACCTGTCGCGGAGATGTGGATCCTATAAAATGAAGCTATTCCTAAGGGGAGATCTTCGGACCCTGTAGTCACGTGATCCACACCGCTATATAAGGTGATCTGCTCAAATAGACTGACGGAGATCACACACATCCATAGACCACTTAATAGAGCACTATTCGTCCCCCGTAAGGAGCGCTTCTCCGTCACAATACCCCCTTCCTTCCAGCCCATGGCTACCACTGACCCAAGGGATGGCGGGTAGGATAAAAAACCTCCGACCACCGCTAAAACCACCTCCTTTGTGGGAGGTGGAAAAGTGAGGTGACGAGGAAAATCCCTCCTTCGCGGAATGTGGCGAGGCAGGCCCTTATAAGGGCCTGCCAAGCTGCGTACGCGCAGCGCTAACCTGCTGGGTAATAGAACCACTTATTGAAACTATCGTCACAAAGAATTGGATGAAGTTTCTGAGTTATTTTTAAAATCCATTGAATTTCTTGATAGCCCCCTATACATAGGTTTGATAGGTGTCACACCTTCGAGGCTAGAACAAAGATGTCGTGTACATAAGCGTTCATGTCAGTTGATGATAGATTAGACTCCTTGCGTAAAAACGAATGTTTATCACCCCTCTGCGTTTGGCTTGGGTCATGACAATAGGCAAGCGCGCTTACGGGCGGTACAGCCTGTTAATTTTGGTCCCAATACATGGTTACCGAGCGGAACTACCTTCCCTACCGATTTAGAGCTGACGAGGATGAGACAATGCAACCTCCTGAAAGCTATGCCTCGCTTTTCGGAGGTTTTAGGGTGTCCGCGACCTATAGTTACCATGTTTCTCCAAGGGCTTGAGGGTGCGTCGATAAACCCTACTCGGTCAACCCTGCACACTAACGTGCATCATTGAAGCCGCGAAGGAATGTTCCTTTTGAGGATGATGGTATATCCAAAATAGATCTTGATGATCTAAGCCAGTACTTGCTGCCTGTTGGAAACGCTCATGTTGGTGCGTTCGCACATTGTGGTAACGTTCTTTTCGATTCCTAAAGGTCCATTTTGACTAGATCTATCTCCACTTGGCGTCGTCAAACGTGTACAGTATCACATGGGTAATAGAGCAGACTTTCTTCTGAAAAGTAGAGTGCGGGCTATCAAGTAAGGTATCGCTTTTGCTGCCTATGTGTTAATCGGTGTTCTAACCACAAAATATTAGTGTTTGGAGACCGATCGGTGATTACCCTGTTCAAGACCGCCCTCTCGCCTTATGTGACGGCACAACTGTCAATGATAGCGATTTCCTACCTACTGACCACATAAAAAAAGCATACATAGGCCAGACAAGTAACCTGGTGTAGAGACCTGGGTTTCGTTGGCACTACCTTAGTAATCAGACTAAGGATGAGTGCTTCATTTTCAAAATGTATGATTCCCTTGATGGAGTTGTGAAATGTAAGTCGCCATATAGCATAAGGAAAGAGAGCTTATTTCGCCACTCTGGGGGAGATTATCACAAAGGTTACCGGTCAACCCTATCATCAATTCTTACAAGAGAATATTTTGGAGCCTCTAGGCATGACGCGCACTGTCGTTGACAAAAGCACTCGCTCTCCTGATGACATGTCTCTGGCATATAGTTGGACGATGGTCAGCCTTACAATGTCCCTCTTCCAGAAATCAGTGCAAGTACTGCTATGGGACCAGCAGGTGGGTTAATGAGCACTGCTAATGACCTAGTGATATATTATAAGGCTCTGATGAAATCCTGGCGTGCCCAGAATGGAGAGTATGTTGAAACTGATGGGATTGGCACTAATGGAACCGTGTTTAACGATGTCCTATGGCTATTTGCGCCGCTTCAGGTCATGGAAACGCCAACAGCCAGAGAAAAAAGCTATGCTGCCGGATGGTGTAGAAGCCAATTACCAACTACAGTTGGTGATATAGGAGTTAATCCAGGCCTTGTCAAAAAAATTCCTAAGCTTGCGGACGGAATAAAGTCCTGACTTGCAATCTGGCATCAAGGCAGCCTCGTTGGAACAACTTCATTCGTTACGACGCTCTCGGACACCGAATCCGCGGTTGTGGTACTTGGCAACACGATGAGCCCCAATGACGCCCCTGATTGGATTGGCCAAATGCTAGTCGAGACACTTCTGAACAGCCCCTGCCGGAATGATTACGTTCGTCTAGCCTCTCAGAGTGTAGACCGAGCGCTTACGAAGTACGTCGAGCTCAGTCAACAAATAGAGGAGGGCAGACAGACAGGCGGGCCTGAAAGGGCTTTAAAAGATTATGTTGGGCCGTGCCTCGGCTTTGGTGGTGTATATTGCATTAAAGTCATTGAAAGCGGCTGGGAGCTTGTCATGCTCTTCCAGGGGCTTGAGTCTCAAAGGTATCGACTCCAGCATCACCACGACGACGCTTTCACATGGTTCATGACTTGGAATGATCAAATAAAGAGAGCGCATTTCATAAATTATCGATCGACGGTCTACTCAATATATTTTGAGGCCGAAGAGGGAAAGGGGGTAGCAAGCTTGAAATGGGTTCAGGATCCGCGAGTGCCGGAAGGCCAAATTTTTGTGAAGCAGTAAGTTAAAAGAAGCAGGCATACAGAGGGGAGACACGGCCCAGATGTTTTAGATGGTCATATTTTCAACGGTATTCGTCTAATTTAATATGCCAACTTTTTAATACTATGCCAATTGCTCCTCAGTTCCTTTAGCCAGAGCTTTTCTGCATGTAGCTTTAAAACACAGGCTGGAAGGTCAACGTCTAGGATCTGGATGAGAATAAGGGCAAACGTACTATGTTAGGATTACAAATATCCTGCTTGCGGTTGGGCAGAAAGTATGACAATGCTCTAGACGGCCCAAGAATGCCGAGTACCAACACTGCTGAGAAGACCAATCTCACCTACAACTTTCACAACCTTCTCGCATTTCCTTCGTATTTGTACAATTATGGCTATCCGAATAGGGGTAAGTAACCCTGAGGCTACTAAGAAAGTCATCGACAAGCCATTGGCCGTCAGCATTAAGACCAAGAGTGTCAAGCGAAGTCTCGACCACTGGGTATAGATGGATGGTTTCTTGGTTGGTGAGTAGTGTGAACCTAGACATGAGTATTTCGCAGATTAATCTTCACGGACATTTTCCGCCGCAAGCTTTCAATCCGCAGAAGGATGAATCTCTTGAACATACCACTTGTCATGGGATTTGGTCTCTCGAGTGAAGGTAAGCCACCGGTAGGTCGCTGCTAGGTAGATGTGGGTCGACAAGGACTTAATAGCATTAATTCCTGAACCCTCTCCTCAATAGTTAAACTCATACACTAGTTCCAATTAAATGGGTAGCTTCTACCCTGCTGCTACATTTTCCCCTAACACCACTCGTGCAAGTCTCGCTGTTTGATAAAAAAAGGCCATGAAATGTATACACCACTGCTTGTAGCAGGCGCTTGAGAGTCTTCGAGGTGAGCATATTGTCATCGTCAGCGCCGGCACGGCTCATAATCTCCGTGGCTACTCAGCTAGAAGGGAGGCGACGCAGCTAGTTGGCCCCAGCAGCTAAATACTATTAACAATAGTTTTTCTAACGACGCGTATATGCATCTATGGCTTCGACGGGGCGCTAAAATCAGCTACTATCGCAAACCTAGGGGAGTGTCAAGCAACGATACCTTCATTTGATGAGACGTAGCGATGCGAATTAACCTTGCATCATATCCTTCCGCCCCGCGTTGGAATCGGCACTGCTGGACGCGAAATTGGACTATGCCTGATACACTACAAGTCTGAGTTATATGTAGCGCCGATTTGGGAAATTTCCAGACGCCTCGAATGACATATCGTGTACACTAGGCGGTACTGCCTATTGCTTGTTTTTATATTGGTATGTCAGTTAGGCCTCTACTCCTAGCTAGCCATATACCTACCAAAAGAGTAAAGACGACGACTTTAAGGCCTAGAGCTATGTAATACACTCTTCCTGTTTCGTTGCAAAGGATTAAAAGTTTGACAATAATTTGACAAGAGCGAGATTCGAACTCACGCGGGTTGCCCCAGTAGAATGCTGCCTGCTTTGCAGGTAAAGATAATACCGCCTTAACCGCTCGGCCATCTTGCCGTTGATGGAGAAAAGTCTGTTACTATTGAAGTCATTGAATGCACTCTCCATAAAGTCAGTTGTTCAATGATGTATTGAATGAAAGGTATTTTCGGCATCTTTCCTCATCATTCGGGCTGATGTTTGCCTAGAAATCCAATGTTTGCTAATGATGTAACTATTGTTGTTGTATTCAATCCCCTTTGTTCCCTTTATTTCCTGACACACGCTAATCCCCTTGACAATGGGCAGATATGGGGGTTCTCAGGTCGCACAAAGAACCATGAGTCCATGTGTGCGGGCCGATACCGAAGCAACGGTATCCCAGAGGCAGCTAAGACAAAAAAGATAATTAGCAAAAGTGCTGCCGGTGTTTTCCTTTCTTCGCGGAATCACCAACCAACCTACTTAGCTCTTCAACGGTCGCGTCGCCGTTGCATCTGGATTTTTGGGCACCACGGACTGTCACTCACTGAGGGGTATCATCGCAGAACTAACCACACTATCCACGAAAGCGAGGAGAACACGACACAGACCAATGCCACCAGTAATCGACGTGATTCGCCATGCCGAGTCCACCCACAACGCGACGGGCAACGTCTACGAGCGTGATCCGAATCTAACGATCAGGGGCGAATCGCAAGCATTCCGCCTAGGACGTTCGTATGCATATATGGGGCATATAAGCCATGTCGTCTCGTCGCCTATGCGGCGCGCGGTCCGCACAGCGATCGTTGCGTTTGAGGATGTGCTGCTGGCGGGCAAGAGGGTGATTCTGCTACCCAACCTACAAGAAACGGGTGCACGGCCAAGCGATATGGGACAACCCCCAAGCGCACTAGAAACAGCCTTTAGGCCGTATATCGACAGCAGTCGTAAGTAACTCGCGAAATCATTCCTCGCAGGGTAAAACCGCATGTTTGGAACTTCCGCGCTTCCAAATTCCTCAGATAATGCTCGTAAGGTGTGAAACTGACTCCGAATATCGCAGTGCTCGACCGTGATTGGTGCTACAAGGGCCAAGGCTCCAAGTACATCCCCGACGTGGCACTCATCGAGGAGCGAGCGCGCGAGGCACGAGTCTTCCTGCGAGACCTCGCGCAGAGCGGGCCGGAAAACGCACACATCGTCGTGGTGAGCCACGGCGGATTCCTACACTTCCTGACGGAGGATTTCTCAGGCCTGTCGGAGCGGTACTTTACGACGTACGGAAACACGACGATGCGCAGCTATCGATTCGCCGACTTGTATGGGCGCGACCCGGACGCGAAAATGGTCGAGACGAGCTGGAGCTGTCAGAGGTCGGGGTTACCGCGTTTCGGAGACATGAGCGATGACGAAAAACCACGTCTCAAGTCGTACGCCGTCGCGAGGGTCGAGGCGCAGAAGGCGGATTTCGAGAGAATGACTAAACCCAGACGGCCGCCGGTCCTGACTCACGTGTTCTAGGTGTCGGTGTGTACAGGGCTAAGTTGGGCGATGTTCTTCGCTATGGCCGCCTGTTGCCTTGGTATTGCCTTGCATGGTATTTTCTTCTAATCTAGACGGAAGCTTCGGTGGCCACCTACTCCTTGCGGACAAATGGGCTTCTCCTGCATATAGAGGAGGTATGTAGTTAATTAGGGAGATGCTCTTCTTGGCCACTCGTCGATGAATCTATCGTATTTACGCTGAAAGCTTCTGGTTTAAGCAGAAGTAACTGGCAGAGTTGACGATCTAAGATAGGTCACTAACTTGGTCTGGAATTGTGGAATAACTAACCGTCACCTTGTGGTGTAGAGTAAGATTACAAAAAAAGAGAGAAAAGAATAATAAAACGAGGGCCTGGGCCGTCCCTGTTCTTTAATTCTAATATTATTTACTAAGAAGTAATACTCTAACTTTATTAGGGGCTAATAGGAGAAATGCTATGATGAAAAAGCGCTAAACGGTGTAATGCCTCGCCATATGTGGAATATAAAATGTTCGGCATCCGGGTATTTACGATTGTGTGATAGTTCCAGGTTCAGGGAGCTCTAGGTGAAGGAGATAGTTATTTGTTAGATTTGTAGTCTCCCCGCCGAGGAGGTAGCTCGTATGACCACTACCATTGCGCGTCAGGAGGATGGCGTTCTTGATCTCGCTCTGGAGACCAAGTGCCCACGTATACGATGTAGAGGGATCGTATAATGAGTTCACCATCAGAAGCTCGGGCTTGCCCTTGTAAACAATGGGCGCGGGAGGGTTACTCAAAGGAGCTGGCCACCCGAGGCATTGAGTCTGAAGTTTGTAGCTTTGGCAGGCGCCAAGAGTGAGCGGGCTGAAAACCGCACCTAGGTTCTCTTTTTCAACCACATCGGCTAGACTCTTCGAGGCGTGCGCCCAGTCTTGGCAGCCGATTGCGGTTCCCGCATACAAGAGTGAGTCCTCGTAAGCATCGCCAATTGCAATCTGATTGAATTCAGAGATAATGGTCGCGTTACCGTTGTCAGCTTCGAGGAGGGCCTGTCCTAGAGCAGGCCAGTTTCTTTGCAAGGTGAGGAATCCATGTGTTGTGAAGATGACATCCTCTACGGTCACGTCGGAGCGACATACTAGGTCGTCGCACCCGGGTGCTGGGATGGGAGCAGCGCTGGCCTTATCTCGGACGCTCTCAAAAACGGCTGCTGTGTCCTCTCCTTGCAGCGCGCATTCCTCAGTTGACGCACACCAGTTGAAGAATTGCTTCAAGGTCGCCTCGTACGTCGTTGTCTCAATGAGTAAGTTGCTAGACTCTGACTGAGAGCGCTGCAAGTTGCCGTCGAGGACAATGGCTCTAAAACTATCGGGGAAAAGTGCCGCATACTGACTAAACAGCTGGGTACCGTACGATAGACCCAAATAAGAAGCTTTCTCCCCGAGAGCTAAGCGTACGGCTTCGTGGTCCTTTACAGCGCTTATGGTGTCGACGAAGTTCAGGAGGGGTCCCGTGTTCTTCAAGCAGCTTGCGCCAAGATCCTCATTATATTGGACTAAGGCTTCGTATTCCTCTTCTGTCTTGGGCATGAACTTGACTCGTTTGTTGAACACGGCCGGGTCGCATCGTACGGGTGTACTGATGCCGACACCACGAGGATCAAGCCCAATAACGTCGAACTTGGCGCGGATCTCCGGGTCAAGCCTGTCAGCCACCGACGCGAGCGTCCTCGATGCTTGGCCACCTGGTCCGCCCGGATTAATGAATAGGTATCCAATGCGGTTTGCTTTGTCCTCGGCTTCTAGGCGCACCATCCCCAACTCGACCGTCTCATTTTGATAACTATGGATGTGACCCCAGTCCAGCGGAACATGGAATGTCGCACATGTTAGAGGGTCAGGAAACTGGTCAGAGCAAGGACCCCATTTGATACTCTGGCCTGATTGCTTTACCCATTGCTGTACCGCGCCGCAGTCGTTTTGCTTAGCTAAAGGCGCAGCTATTGAGAAATCTAGTTAGTAGTCGCGGTTCACGGTCGATGATTCCACAGTACTAACCTCGCCCCAAGCCCGCGGAAGCGATACCTGCGATCACAAGTTGGTTTAGACGCGCCATGTCAGGTCGTTCTTCTGCACTCGAGATTATGAAGAGAGATAATGAGTATGAGGCCGAGCTGAAGGTGTTTTGGGTAGCATTAATATAAGGACGGCGATCCGCAGATCCTACCAGGGGGCTCAGTGCTTGAGTTGCCGCACTAGGCCAATATAAAGGACCCGAAGAAGCAATGCGACCCAAATTAGAGCTCCCCTTGGTGCTTGGTGTCTTTGATCCTCCTACCACATTAGGTACCTTACTCTAAGTAGATAGTAGACAGTGTTGATTTGAGACCCCGTCGATTCTTAAAGCACTGAGTCTAAATAACCACCTAAGTTTAGATAGAGAAACCGGATCATGCCGTAGATGATGTGAGTGAAAGGTGCAAGGGGCCTGTTTACGGTACTGCCTAAACGCATTACGCAGGTACTGAGATATAAGCCCCAGGCAACCATGTTAGAGCGCTACATAAACTCATCTATAGCAGAATGCCTCTATTATTATCTAAAACAATAGGGATCCCACGAACCGGCGTATTAATACTCTGTCGCAGTGTAATTTAGTAAATTGGACATAAGATTTTAGGTAGTTAACTAAATTAGACAGGTATAAATTTAGCACCTTACTAACCCTAAACGCGCTATAGTCACCTGCCTAAATAGGTAGTCAATAAGCTGGGTAATGCAGTCGGGTCACACACAACTACGCGCCAGTACAACTTACCGAATGGCGACGACTCGGTACATCTAAACCTCGATTTTTATCTGCTACGATGCCATCTCCTACAAATAAACAAGACAACTCCCTACATCGCCAGTTTGCTTATTCATATAAGTCTTTGGTTGAGGCGTTCCTTCTCTAGACCTATTATGCGCAGGCAGTAGAGATACGAGTATTATGTCGCCTTCCTTCGCCTGCACCAGTCCCAGTTCCGGCTAGACAAAGATTACGCACGTTTGAGCAGGAGGTTTCCTAAGAACTAGCGACAAACACTATACCGAATCGATAGCATATACATTACTAGTCTTATGATTCCTATTGGACTATGACAACGACACACGGCGGAAAAAAAAGACATGAAAAAAATGCATCAGCCGTGAATCGAACACGGGGCCCATCGATGGCAACGATGGATTTTACCACTAAACCACTGATGCTAGGTTTTATGTAGTCACAAGACATGTGAGGATGCCGTGTAAAAGACACCATGTTAGCAGAGAGTGGGTTTACCGGACAATTTTGTCTATCATGGAAGTAATTTTGGTGTTACACTACCTAGTCGAGTAAGTGGAAGATAACTTTGAAAAATACTCTGCTAAGACTTTTACTCTGAAACCCTACGCTGACACAGGCCATCGCCAAGTATTATACTAACCCAGGATAGATCTCTACAAGCTCCCCATTGGACGTGCAATGACACTCGTGAAATAACTTGGAATCCATTCATATGAAGAGTGACAATAAAATAGGATGATCATTGTGTTGGTGTCAT